TACTTCAAGTCCTGTGCAAAAACGCACGATCGCACGGGCCCGCCCGGTGCGTTCCAGCCTGGGTTGCATTTGCATAATGTGCCATTCATACGACTTAACTGATTCAAGTGTAAAGCAAAAACGCATAATCGCATCAGCATGCCCGATATGTCCCAGCTTGGATTCCTAAATAACAGACGAATAGCATTAGCTGAGTTCCATCGTTGAAGTTTTGCAGAAGCAATTGCTTCTGAGAGAACGCAATTTCAGCAGCAAAGGGCATAAAACTCCCGGCAATTCCCATAGCAAGGTCTGTGAAGAAAACATCGGAAAATTCGTGATCTTTAATGACAGAGAACTAAGTATAGCCTGGAGCAAACAGAGTTTACGAAAAATATTTGTATAACCGAAAAGAAGAGTAATACTTGCTTCCGGTACTCCCTGAACAAATATCGAAAGCAAACATGTTTTTGTGCAAAATAAGGAGAGAAATCTGTATGTATTTTTTGGTCACTTTTTGCACCAAGAAAACGAAAGGGCACTTCTTTCAGTCATAAATTCGAATTATCCTGGAACAATAAAAAAGAGTCGCGTTATATCAAAGGAGCAGCATTTTCGTTGTCTGTTAGCATAATCTTGATTCTTTACAGCCAGTGATCAGAAAAATCATATAAAAGCTAAGAAATGCATGTCTTTTTCCGAGCAGGTTGAAGCGGAAATGCAGCATTTTCTGACTCTTCTACTTTTGTGTCTCTTCCGAATTGTGTTCTCACGGGGTAAGCTCCGAAGATTTATCCGATTTTTTGACTTGCTCAGTTTGTACATAACATACAGTTTTCAAAAATTATTTTGCTTTTATTGCTGGGACTATCGAGTTTTTTTTGAGATGATAGTTTTGCATCACGGGGCCGCGTGAACCTCGAGCGTGTAAGATAATTATCAATTTTACCCGGTCGCTTTTCGATGAACGGTTATCCATCGAAAAACCCAATTTGGCAATGTACGGGATGTCGGAAGAGGATTTGCGTGATCCGCGAAACTAGCTCGCTTTTGAGTTTGTGGCAAATTAGAGTATTTGCCATCTCCGCATGCAGGAACTCTCATCTCAAGTTGAATTAAGACTACACATAAACATAAAATATCTTTGCAAAGTTCCAACTAGCCAGCTTGTCCAGCGAACGAAATAGCTAATTCGCCACAAATGTCTTTGACGTGCCATAAGCAGTGGCACAAGTGGGCATCAAAACTTGTTTTAGGCATGTTTTTTCTCTAAGGGTACATATATTCAGACAAAATTTCAGCTACCATTTTCCAACAATTTTCGAGTCAGCACAATGCCAACAGTGAACTTTGACTTGACCGTACGCGCAGTATTTGCTTGCACTATAGCTGAATTTGAAATTTTTAGCTCATACATGCACAGAGAATATTCGTACAAAGTTTCAGCTTTCTGTCTTATTTGGTTCACAAAATCCCGCCAAAAAAATCTGCATGCTTTTCTTTCGGGAGTCGGTACGTAAAATCTAGGCACGTATGAGCTGCGACTTCAAAGCCGGAGGGTGAAACATGGAGCGGGAATGTGCTCCCAAAATTTCAGTCTCCTAGCTCTCTTGGCTGCTAAACTGAAAATGAATGAAAAAGCTCACTTAGTTCCGAATACACACACACATACACAAGCACGCACATGCACACACACACACACACACACACACACACACACACACACACACAAACATACACACACACCATAAGCGAGCGCTCGCGACAGTATGTATTTTTGCTCACTGTAGCAACGATTTAGCGCTAAAAACGCATAAAATGATATTATGAATCCCAGTAGCACTTGGTTATCAATGTGGATATCTAACTAGTATTCTTTAAAGTCCATTTTGTCCTCTGTAATTTTCTGTGTTGGAGCTTTTTCGAAAGCATAGCTGCTTGACCATTGCTACACTACCAACCACTGATCAAGCTTAAGCGTCATCCAAGGTTTGCATCATCCAAGCTTAACTGAAAATAATGGGCAATTTTAAAAACAAAAACATATGGAGCAAATGAGGTATAATAGGTTATCTGCAAAAAAAAAATTATTAAAATATCTCAAGGGTTTGCATTTGGGATAAAATATTCCGTTTCAAGAGAAATGTTTATTAGCTGACGATTTCATTTTCAGCTCCCGGATGCATGAGTAATGCTGATTGTAATGCATTCGATGTATGCGTTGGAGGAAGCTGCATTCCAGATCACCTAGGTACATTTATTTTGATGGCCATTATTGCGTTGAATAGCACGGCAGTCTGATAGCCTCTCCTACGTTTACCCCGCAATAACTGATTTCTCCAGGATTACACATTTGTATTTTCATCAGTTTCGGCCGAAATGGAAAGATCCTATTAGCTTGAGGTAAAAAACATCTCAGTTTTTTTCCAAGAAGTAGGATTTCAATAAAAATTAGGATTTTTTTACCGGCTTCTAGAATTGTAAGGAACTTGCCAGTGCTTTTCGAAAAAAACACCTGCAAAATTGATTTTAGTTTATTTTGATAGCCACTTACTAGTTTATTTTTTACTGCTAGTCTTCGATTAGTCCTCAAAAAAAGCGGCAACCTGGCTAAAAGATGGTTGTTGTTGGCGCTTACTGCCTATCGCCGAAAGGCGATATTTTGTGGTAAAATTGTATAATTATGCCTTTGTGTATGGGTCGTGGTGTGTTTTTTATATCAAATGTTTTATTTTGTTTTTATGTAAACTGTTATCTAACCATTTTATCCCCAACTGCAAAATCGGCGATATTTCCCACGTGCCAATTTCTTATGGTGTTTTTATATTCCAGACGCCTGAGAGCCAAAAGGTGATTAGGTCCTTTCAAATACCCTATAAAAGCCCTCGCATCTTCCCTCGAGGTCCGGCTTCAACTATTTCTACTTTTGCCACGTACTGCCGTCTCGGCCGCTTCTTGCCATCATCGTCTCGGAACAAAACTTCGTCGCTTCAAATCTTGTGTAGCGAGCCGTCAGTTCCCCATTCTGCCCAGCCGGGCATCTTGAGCGTTTGTTGTCATACCATTACTAAGCACATTAAATAAACCATTCATTTTATTCGCCTCTGCACGTCTTCCCACCTAAATCATAAGAAAGGCGCCGATTTACGCCGTACTGCCAGTTGAGCTACTCCCGACTGCCCTCGTTTCTCGTGGAAAAACTGATATGGAAGACATATCGATTCCTGACATGGAGCTTTTGAACTGTTCAGCTTTACTGTTAACAAAGGATTTGTACGCCAACCGTCCTGCTGAATTTGACAAACTTGGTGATAGGGCGCTATTGGTCGATTTCCCCACGTCAGCATCCCGTTTCACCAAACTGTGTTTACTGTCTAAATTCATTTTCATTTAGATTTTTACTTTATTTTGTTACATTTAGGTTGTCCAAACAATTCATGTATGCCAGATGAAATCTGTGTTCGGGGCCAATGTCATAAGCTGCCATTTCCGAGGCGTAAGATTTTCCGTTTTATTCGGAGTTTTTTGACCTAGGATTTTTGCAGTATTAAAAAAAACATTCTAAGGGAATGATCTGATAAGTTGCAGAATGTCGACCAAACACCAATTCAGACTGCTCCGTATTCGAATACTGCTTGGACGGTGTTTGTACGCCCGATAACAGAGGTATTTTTATAAAGCATGCTCACTTTTGAGTGTAAATTTGTAAAATTTTTTCAGATTACTGAAAAATAACTGAAAAATGCGGATTAAGACTGCATAGAAAGCTCAGAAACATTAAACTATATAGTCAATTTCACGCCAGGAATCTCCGAAAGAGGGGAGTAATTTTGGAAAGATTAAACAAAGCAGGCGCATCTAGTCTTTCTCCAAGAAGAAATTTGTTAGTAAGTAACAATTGTTGCAAATCGCTCGATAATCATGGTAAAGTTCTCATGTTAAGTGACGCTACTGTTAGACCCGGAAAACTAACAAGCTTTTCCTTAGCCAAAAACTAGAACTAAGCACACAGAATGCTACGGGGCTCCCTTACAATCCTTGGTAACCTCGGTTATTCCGCATACCAAATAAGATATCAAAACGCAAAACACGGAGGCTGTCGATTTGGCTGTAATGCGGCTTTCCGCTTCTTTCA